ATAACATGGTCACAAACAATCTAAACTAGCAACAATACGATATTAACTATAAGCAAATCCTACGATATGGTTGCTTACCCATCAGCCCACCCATATATCGCAGCCTAGCTACCACAAAAATCACTCACTGAACAACACAAAACCTCATCTACAACTTATACAGAGCCTCTGACTTTAAAAAAAAAAAAGAGAACCACGCCCAACCACCCGCGCTACTCACACCACACCGTGCTACTCGATGAACTACCCGGCGCTACTCACACCACACCATGCTACTCGATGAACTACCCGGCGCTACTCACACCACACCGTGCTACTCGATGAACTACCCGGCGTTACTCACACCACACCACGCTACTCGATGAACTACCCAGCGCTACTCACACCACACCATGTTACTCGATGAACTACCCGGCGCTACTCACACCACACCGTGCGACTCGATGAACTACCCAGCGCTACTCACACCACACCGTGCTACTCGATGAACTACCCGGCGCTACTCACACCACACCATGCTACTCGATGAACTACCCGGCGCTACTCACACCACGCTACTCGATGAACTACCCGGCGCTACTCACACCATACCGTGCTACTCGATGAACTACCCGGCGCTACTCACACCACGCTACTCGATGAACTACCCGGCGCTACTCACACCCTGCTGCGATATCCACTGAACCACCCCGCGGCACCTACACCCTCCCGCTACCTCTGCGGCTCCCACGACCTATAATATCATCAAATACACCAACGACATAATATTTGATCTCCACCACTCTAATGATATCCTGAAAATAATTATAATTTATAGTAATAGACAGGTAATCTCTAACTAAATTTCTTAGTTCCCTATCATAATGATCAGTTTGGGCTATAAATCTCTCCCCCCAAAAATGCTTCCGCTTTCTCTTTGTCTGTTGTCACTGGCAAACGATTATCAATGTATATAAAACCTGCTGTGATAGTCCGATCTTTTCTTTGCATCTGTGAAAACTCCAAAACTTACTCAGTGATTGAACCCATCCAGTTTTGCTCATAAAATGTTAATTATTTTCTTGTCCCACATCGCTTGAACTCTTCTACTTTGTCTTTTCGAACTCTTTCCAGCTTCTCTCATCATCTTTTAACGTTTGAGGTGTCTTAATTAATTAATGTAATTGTTTAACTGCTGCTCTCTTTGCTATCCATGCCTGTTCTGCTTCTTGGGTGCACCATGGAGGCTACACAGAAGCAGAGGTGGTAGTACTTTCTGTCGAAGGCGTCTGAGAACGATACTGCCACTCTCCTACTTAAAAGTCTTGCGCATTCTCACAGCCTTGATCTTGCTAGCTTTAGAAATCAAGACTGAGCATGGAATATGTTCACTTCCATGATCGCCCAAGGCACTCCATTTTATGTTAAGCACTGCTGAATGGGTAACAAATCAACAGCTGTGTCTGCATCACCAGGTTTCATTGCCATTGCCTACCGTCGTTTATACTTTTCAGACTGCATCTACCATAGCCTCTGCTGAAGCAATTCCTTGCCCATTTTCCCCACTACTGTCTCGTGCTCTGTTTCGCGCATTGAAATCCCCACAAATGAGATGCCTATTACCAGGGATTTCCTCCAACTCTTTGAGCCAGTCCCAGTGTTCCTTTGTGACAAGAGATTCAACAGCAGTGTAAAAATTTACTAAGCTCTAGGTTGTGCCCCCATTATCTATCTGTATACGCAATATTTCTATTGTACTATGATTCCGCTGGCCCAGGTCAAGAACCCTATGCTTCACCCCATTCTTCACCAGCAAACATTGTCCATGTCTTCCCTGCCAGACAGGATTTATACAACTAATGTATCCAGGACACTCTGTCATATCTATCTATAATTCCTGCAGCATGATGATATCAAAGTCATAAATCAGCCTCTCCAGTACAGGTCCTCTCTGCTTGGCACTACAACAATTCCAGCAACCCACTCTAATTCACTACACCCCCCCCCCCCCCCCAATCATCGCTGAGGCTACGGAGCGCGTACTCTGTGCTTCATACCAAGGCAGCCAGCGTAATGTTGGTCAAGTCACATATTGATTGGGGATTCGAGCTTAGGACCGTTATATAATACCGTTACACAGGTTTTATGTAGCTTCCGCGGCATTGGCAAGAATCGTAATCTGGCTATGCTGCATCTGAATGTATTTATCTGCTTTTATTTTTTTTTATTACTATCTCATTATAATTGACTAGGAAATCGAACCTCTATGTCATTGCTACCTCCTCTCTCTCTCGATGAACGCTGTTAAAGTGTAGTCCTGTCCGTTCACTTACTGTGGTTACGATTGTCCTTCAATTCCTGGTATGTGCACAATGTTATCGGCATGAAATATAACATGCTAAAGCATCACAGCTTGATGGTGTCAGTGTTGGACAAGTCTATTAAATAGCACAGTCAAAAAACACCAACAGTTAAGTCTGAAGCAGCAGACAGTATCGGACAGGAACTGTCATAATTATGTGTGCATTGCCGGATAACAAATCGCGCGCACGCACATATCTTTGTGGGTGTTCAGAGGCACCATTGGGGGGTGGGGAGAAAACTGACTGCTCCCATAACAAGCTTGTCGTACGATGCGACTATCTGGGGTGTTTCCTTCGAAGTTGAGGAATCAACAGTTTGCATATTAATAAGCCAGATCTGTAAAAGATATGAGCATGCAAAACTAAAGTTCTGGAACAGGACCAAAATCCAGAAGTGGAGAATACGCCAATGAACACTATGAAGAGGAAGATAGCACTCAACAAATCTTAGTCCATGGTGATCTGTGTAACTCTGATGATATTCCTGCAGAAAACATTTCAGATCATCCAGTATAATGTCTCTGTCTTCTTCACCCACCGTTAGTGTTTCTCATAAAAACGAAGTTCAACCAGGCCCCAAAAATGTTATGGCATTTAATTGTTTTTCATTTGCCTTTCCCGGGCAATATATCCACGATGGCTGTCCAAGGTATTTCAACATTCGTCTCAGAAACCATACTTGTTGTCTTGCAATTCAGAATGAGTTGAGTTGGCTCAAGAATTGACATCACAGAACTAGGGACATTCCCACAACCATAGAATATTCTAATTAGAAGCCAGTGGTTTGACACGTCAGGTAGGTCACTGAACCACTGAAGCTGAGATTATATCTTCATTCAGTGCTGTGTGGACACTTGGCAGGACTACCCTTTCCAGTACTGCACTTAAGTGGCAATAAAAAGGGCTGCTGACTGATGATGTGCCACCATCTACAACAAAACTTGTTTTATCACACTACAACCCAACCAAGACTGTCTGTCAGAAATACTGCTGGAAGAATATTTACCTATTTGTGAAAGCTCACCTTAGACCAAATGGGGCCCCAGATTCAAGAAGCAGTGTGAAGAACCAACAAACAGCTAGTAGTGTGAAGAACCAACAAACAGCTAGTGCAGCTAGAAAATTTGACTATCAGCAACAATAGCACTTACATCTTGAAGCAAGTAGACAGGGAAAATATAAACTCTCAACGTGCACAATATATGCAAGTTGACGAGCCCGCAGCCTTACTCCCCAGTCCCAAGACCCCCACCTTCCCATCTCTTTCCTTTACAAAGTGATCAATACAGACAGTGAAGATAGTTATGGCTTTCCATAGTTACTGTCATTTCAGTCTTTGTTTCGTCTGCTGAAAAAATAGCATTGCAACATTCTTCTTAGTGTGTGTGACAAAGATAACTTCTTTATCCCATTATTGGTGTGTTGTATCAAAACCACCAGGTGGCAGACTAGGGTAAATAAGGCATTCTCTTCCCTCTGTTAGTCTGTAGGACACCTCAGAGGCATAGATGCAGCATCCACTCAGTACCTCGTAAAGTAAATAAAGTGATGGATGCAAGAAGTGAGCAGCTGAAAAGTTATGAAAAACCGGTCACCACTTTAGCTGTGCTAGACACAGTATAACTTGAGAACGGAAAAACTAGAGTTGGAAGTGAAGACCAAGAGCGAAGATATAAGACAATTTGGAACACAGGAACATCTAGATCAGAAGCGATTGGTAGCTGACAAGGTAGAAAACTGTAGCAGACATAACTGATACCACATGGCATGGACTGAGACAAAGCAGCCAACTCCACTTCACGTTTGTTGTAGAAAAAATTTAAGAAGAAAGTACATGACTTCATAAAGAAGAAACAAATGTGCTTGTCAAATGTTACTAAGAGACATGTACTGACATCTTGAAGCTCTCACTGGATATTTCCAACAGTTGTTGTGTTGTTTTAATGGTACTCTCCAGCTTCCCCAAACAGTGTTAGACCATAGCAGTGACTTTTGTTAACTAATTCAAAGACTTTTAAAGCTCAATTTTATAATGACATTTTCTACTCTGTTTTTAAGATTTGTTCTGCACACAAAGTGTAGGAAGACTTTAAAAACACCTTGTATATCAACAAGACTGGCTTCAATGGCACTCAAGTGCAATAAATAAAATCGTAAAGCAAATAAAATTCATTTTAATCCAAAAGAAATGTGCACCAATTTATCAAATGTATTTAACAAACTTCTTGCAAAATTGATTACAACACTTTAACAACAAGAACTATTAAAAACATCAATCATTATGTGATGGAGTAAACATCTAGTATGCCTTAGTACTTCAAAACAGCAATACAAGTAGAAGCCAACAAATAACTAACATTGCTGGAAATGTTAAATGTGAAAGATGTAGAAGACAGTATTTTGGCTTGACACAAACAAGTCTGATGTTCCAAGAAATATACATATATAAAATAGCCACAATTAAACAATACACAAATGGAGAGAGAAAAAAGATTAGTAAGTTAAGGAAACTGCACTAGCTTGAGGCTAACAATGACACATATTTTTATCTTTATTTCATTATAAACTAAATAATGAAGGTTACCCACAAAACAGCAAACCAATTTGCCTTAGCTTAAACAAGAAACAGTTTTAGGACAAAATTCATGGCTTGAACACTTAAGCAGACAAGAAGTTCTCCACCGCTTTGACAATGCAGTTTGCACTGATGCCATATTTCTCCAACAGCTCTTCACTTTTACCACTGCGAGGAATTTCAGGAACAAACAGGCGCTTCACAGTAATGCCAGACTGATGGCTCACAGAACCAGCAACGGCCTCTCCAAGACCACCTAACAAGAAATAAACAAATGTAATCAATAAACAAATGTAATAAGTTTCATCACTTGTTTACAGTGTTTTATAGATTAGTTATATACTGGTGTATCTGAAATGCCTGACAAGTCAACGTAGCATGTCTTGTCAGAGAAATATTGTTAATACAAACCGTCACTGCAACATCATCAATTGAAATGATCTCCAACTGACTTTGAAATGGAGCTGCATCAGCACAAATCCAAGTAGAATGGCTGAACAAATTCAGACATTCACAATCACTGGATCAGCATGGGTATACACATTACAAAGGATGGAGAAACATTAGAAAACTGGTATATTTTAGACAACTACATCAAGACTGATGATTTATGCTACCTCTAGGAAAACATTATCAGCTGTTTTTTCTTTTAAATCGAAGTAGCACTATGTGCATATTCATTCTCCAGGTTAATGTCCAGTGTACTCAAACCCTATTGTTAATGTCTAGTGTACTCAAACCCTATTGTTAATGTCCAGTGTACTCAAACCCTATTGTTAATGTCCAGTGTACTCAAACCCTATTGTTAATGTCCAGTGTACTCAAACCCTATTGTTAATGTCTTAAAACAGTGTAAAGTCTAAAGTTAAACAATCTGCAGCATTATTAAATGAGTTGGTTATTTCTAACTGTAAACAAAACATCTTGTTTATTACTAATGAATGTAAAGCTGTAAAACAACAGTCACAAGATCTGTAGGTTTCCAGTGGTCATAACATGTTCTATTTTCCCTCTTCTCATAACATGGCCAAAAAATGATGACTGTCTCCTTCTGATGTCTGTGATAAGTTGTCTTCGGGCTCCCGCCTCTTTCAAAACCTCTTGGTTGTTCTTTTTGGCTGTCCAAGGTATTCTAAGCATTCTTCTGTAAAACCACATCTCCGAGGCCTCCAGAAATTGTTTGGCCTGCCTACTGATTGTCCAGGATTCACAGCCATATGTTAAAACTGGGTGTATGTAGCAAGCAAGAATTCTTTTTCTAACTCTCAATGACAAGGATATATTGCACAAGATGTTTTTCATTTTATAAAATGCAGTTTTTGCCTGTCCTATTCTATTTCTTATCTCAGTTATGCATCTTCCATCTGATGTTATATATGTGCCCAGCTACTTAAATTTCTGTACTTGTCCTAAAATAACACCATCAACTTTTATTACACATTTAGGAATAATTCGTTTCTTTGATACCACCATTACTTCTATCTTCCCATTATTCAAACTGAGGCCCATTCTTCCACTTTCTAACACCAGTGTCTATAATTTCCTGTAGTTCTTTCTGACTTGTTGCTATCAAGACTGTGTCATCAGCATAACGTAAATTGTTTTTACTGTGCCCACCAACCACAATTCCAGGCATACCAATTAAAGCTCTCATTATATATTCACTGTATATTGAAAACAAATCAGGTGACAGTACACATCCTTGTCGTTCGCCCCTCTTTATGCTTTGAAATGTACCTAAACAGTTGTTAATTCTTATAGCTGCTGTTTGCTGCCAATACATATTCTTTATTATTCGTAGATCTTTCCCATCAATGTTTAAATTTTCCAACAGTTTGATTACTTCTTCGTGCTTCACACAGTCAAATGCTTTTGTATAGTCTATGAAGCATATGTACAAATCAGTCTTTACTTCTATAGCTCTTTCTGACAATGTCCTTAAGATGTATATGGCATTGTTTGTACCTTTTCCTTCTATAAATCCACATTGTTCATCGCTGATTTCTGGTTTAATTTTGTTTCTTATTCTTCTCATAATTATTCTCAGTAAAATCTTAGTCATGTGACTCATAAGACTTAATGTGCGATGGTCTTCACATTTTATAGTGCCTGGTTTCTTAGGCAGAGCTATAAATATGGATTTTAAAAGGTCATTTGGAATATACCCACTATTATAAATATTATTTAAAAGTTTAGTTATTATTTCAATTCCAAAATCTCCCAGTGCTTCGATTTCTTCCAGTGAGATGTTGTCTGGCCCGGGTGCTTTTCCTTTCTTCATATGATGTATTGCATCCTCAACTTCTGCAGTCATTATTGGTGGACCATCATTGTTGGTCTGCAGTTCTACATCTGGTCTATTATCATCATACAATTCCCCTATATACTCTGTCCATCTGTTAATTATATTACTATGTCCCATTAATAAGTCACCATCTTTTGATTTCAAACATCCAGTGCTGTTACGTGTCATATTTCCTGTTAAAATATTTATCTTTTGGTACATGGAATGTGAGTCTTTCCTGTTGTTTTCCCCAATCTCTGTACACATTTGATTCAGCCAGGCTTCTTTAGCCACTTTGCATTTGTTCACTATTTCTTTTTGTATTCTAGAGTATTCTTCTTTATCATTCTTTTTCTTCCTTCTTTCATCCATCAACTGCAGAATTTAGGTTGACATCCATTTCTTTTTTGCAACTCTATGGGTTGGTGGGATTGTCTCTTTAGATGTCTGCTGAATTGACTCACGCAACATATCCCACTGTTCATCAATAGTCTGTATAATTTCCATTGCATTATACCGGTTTTGTACAGTGACATTGTACTGGTCCTTAATTTCTTTATCCTAAGAATTCCTAAATTTAACTTGATGTTCTGTGGTGTTTTTCTAATGTTCTTTAGTTTTATTTTAATTTTTCCTACAACTGGAACATGGTCACTAAAGCAGTCTGCTCCTGGTCTAGTTTTTGCTCCAACTAAGCTGCTCCTGAATCCATACATACCACATAGTTACTTAAAAGTACAAAGACTAAACACTTCACATCCCAGATGTAGTATCTGCTTATGTACCTTCAATGGGACTACCTTCACCACGTGAAACATAAGCTGAGGGTTAGGGAAGAACAATTTGTCACAATATCCAACAAATAAATCTAAATCTTTATGTTTACAAACATGCATTTAATACAAACCTTCTGCATAGTGATCTTCCACGGTGATGATCCTGCCCCCAGTCTGCAGTGCACTGCCAATAATGGTATCAGCATCAATGGGTTTAATGGTAAAAGGATCAATGACTCGAATGTTGACCCCACGTTCAGCAAGAATGTCTGCAGCCTTCAGTGCTTCATACAGTGTCACACAAGCCCCAATCACTGTGACTTGGTCAGATGCACTCTGTCTAACAATCTGTTGACACAAACAAAAACAACCTATGAGAAAGCTGATGTTATACATTTTCTATATGTACTGCATGAAGACGGGGATGTTTGTAAAAACTGGTGTGGCCTCCACATAGACCCAGCCTAAAATAACAACTAGACAATTTTGGAGAGCACATACAATCTGATGGTTGCTGATCAAATGTAGCTGAAAAGCTACCTCTGCCCTTTGTAGTTGTGGTTTAAGATTCCTGATTTGTGCACACTGAGACACAACAGGATGGAACATTTGTGCATGTCTATTCCTTTCCCTTCGCTGGTCTTCCTAGTCACAGACTGTGGTATGTTAATTCCCTCTACCTCAAGGCATGACAAGGGTCCTTGACTTGACCAGCCATGATGGGATGTGGAATAAACAATATATCCAGGATTGACCCATACACAGATTGAACCGTTAAACTTATAGTTCTTAATCATTTTAAGCCCGGCTCGCTAGCGCAGTTGGGTAAAACCATCTGTGTGGTGACAGGGTGACAACTCCTTGTGGTCCGGGTTCACGCTCGGGGGAGGCAGGAAAATTCACATTTCTCCCACATTTACAGTGTGTATCATTTTAAAGTGTCTGTCAGGATAAATGCTTGAAACAATAAATTTTCAGTCACTTCATCAGGAAATCTGATACTAAGAACAAAATACGCAGATTATTTTCTTAAATGTTTTAGTCATATAAAAGTTAGAACAAACATTTACACAAATGAAAAAAAGTACAGCAATTCTGCACATTACCAACACAAATTACATTTAGTGTTAATGACATACTGACCCTTTAAAATGTAAAAAGTTAAAGGCAAATAGATGGAATAACTAAGTAATCAATTAGTTTTGTGTAAATGTTGTCATACTAGTGTGTCAGCTGGGCAGTTGACTAATTATTGCAAAAATATTGTGCTTTTTCAGTTCTGGGCAGTTAGGTTTGGTTCACAAGCGCAATATGTATGGAGATCCCTTGTGATCATCCCTAGAGATACTGAGTTAGTCTATGTGCAAAGCTATCAGCATGGCAACCAGCCATTCTATAGAAAGAGGCTGGGCTCTAGGGATGCACCCGGTGCAACAAAGCTGATTCTTACAACTTCACTTAGTTGGTTCAATGCTCCGAGAGGAGACATCTTAACTGGCAAACAACGAAAAAACAATTTGTTGCAGACTGTACACTTCATTTAATCAGGTGGCTAACATGGCTGTACAAATAAACGGAAGACAAAGGACTCAAACTTCCGACACTCAACATACCTTTGCCTTCCCAACAGCAAATCGGCTCATTGTTTTCATAAATAACGGGCACATTGGGTCTGCTGGTCCGGATGAAGCAAATACCCTTAGTGTTTGCCGCCAGCTCTACAGCTCTCTCAGTGGATACAGCATCAGTGGGGTAGAAGACAGTTGAGCCAGGAACACTTCTGAACATAGATATGTCTTCCAGAGCCATCTGAGATGGGCCATCTTCACCTGGCAATGGTGAGCCAAAATCATATTGGTGAGGGAAAAACATCACTGCTTGCAAGAATGATAAGTTTATGAAATACTCAGATGTAGGTGATCGAGGAGGCCTGCACTGTAACATCTGCATGTCAAACATATAAAACTGTATATACAGTCGAGTCTGGATAAGTAGAAAGTCACAGAGATCTAAGAAAATATTTTCACTTACCAGGACTTATACTTATCTAGACAGCACACACAACAGGGAACATACACTAAAACCCAGCAGTATCACTGAGTAAAACAATTACACCAGTTGGGAAACACCACAGTTAAACAAATAAATAGCAATACAATGTCAGAAATGTTGAAATATTTAATAATTTTAGAAGGTTTAACATTAAAACCATATGAAAATTCAGACATTAATTGAAAAAAAAAGTCTGTGATTTTGCTAGTCTTTTTGGACTGAAATATTACGCAATGGCGTTTTTTGAAACGCTCAAACCAACCAGCCAGCACTACATTTCCAGACTGTCTGACCTCCAAAACGTGCAAATTCCTCTGTTTTTGTCATAATTATATGGCCCATTCATGGATACATTCGCCGATCTAAGCTCAATGAATCATTTTAAAAGGTCAGTATCAACAACATTGCATGTCGCTGTTCTAGCTCGCTGTTTGTCACTGTTGATTTTACACTCGAAAAATTATGTTCTGTAGAGTTCCTTACGCTTTAAAATGCCAGAAAGCGCCGAACTTGGAATACCATATTCCCTAACTGTATCCACTTTCTTCTTCCCACTATGTTCGATCTCTTCCAACAGTTCAATCTTTCTTTTTATAGTTAAAGTAGTCAGCTTTCGACCGCCATTGTTAATACTGTATGTAGCTAGAGATTTCACGTTATTTCCCGGGCTGACTAAAAAAAAATTTTTTTGATGAAATTAACGTTTCTTTCATAGTAATAATGAACAATTCAACTTAAACAGAGACGTGTATCTAGTCAGAATTAATTTTTAGATCCAACTTATCCAAATATTTGAGTTTAACCGAATTCGACTTATCAGGATTTTAAATACTAAGATGAAGAAGAAAAATTACCGGGACTAAGCTGGTCATGTCGACTTGAGCAAAATGTGACTTATCTGAGTTTGACTTATGGAGACTCAACTGTATTCAGTGTTTCTTCCCTGTCTTTTTTTAACTTTGTCTCAAGTTTTATTATAAACTAGACATTTGGCAGTTTAATATTCATTCTAGTAAGCAACCATTTAAATATTCAAACACATGTAGACCATGTTTCATAAATTAAATAAAAATTATTTCTTTTTCATTCATGTAATGCAGAGGTGGGCAACCACACCCTGTTTATAGTCCACAGACCAAATTAAGATTGACAAAGGTGGTTGCAGGCCATATAGTAAAAAAAAAAAACAAAGCAAAGCCCAGTTTCCTCATTACACAATATTTTTGTGGGATATTCTGAGATTATGATCCCTCACCATGCCACTAGCTAGACACATTCACCCACTGAAACTCTTCTAGATATTTCAGAATATGCCTTTCAGAGAGAAAAACGGTCGTCATTTTATATTATATTATCAAAGTCCACTGACTGACATCGTCTTCTAATGTCTGAGTTTGTCTGCAACATGCATTTTGCTAGCAGGATTAAAGATCAGTTTTTGGTTATCATTGTTTAGATTATCATGTTTTTGTATGTTGAAATGTAGATTTTTTCTTGCTTTGTGCATATAAACATGTTTTTGTGTTCTGCTATTTATTTAGCTTAAGGGCCAGACTATATAGTAATTTTACGCCAGCCTCACAGGCAGGTAAAAATGTATCCATGGGTCAGCTGTGGCTCATGGGCTATAGTTTGCCCACCATTGATGTACAAGTTTCAAGAAAGTATTAGTACACATTGTAGTGTCATGGTAGTTTTGCAAGCCCAAAATGGTAAGTATGATATTACATTTCTTTATTGTTATTTTTACACTTTTCAAATGCAAATCAATACTGAACTGTGCTTCTAATTATATGCTCAATTGTATTTTATTCTCATGAGACCTAGTTTTTATTCCCGATAGCAGATTAAGTTGCCTAACTGTTACTGACATTTAACATCTGTCTTCTTCTTTCGTTCGCCTGAAATAAGTTGTCTATATCAGCAATTTTGTCTCTAGTATAAATTTCACTGTCGTCGTTAGTTCATTCAGTAGACCATAGAGTTTAGTTTCACTGTTGTTCTTTCTGGCCAAAAAGTTTGCCTTAATGTGTCAAATTCTGTGCAGTCCTGAAGTGCATACTGTGCTGTCTGGTGCACCTTTCTAGAGGTGCACATGGCTGATTCAACCCATCTTGAATTTTGTGTATATGTGGTTAACATTTGTCAAATCTTTAAAGAAAGGAAAACAAACATGGCAATGGTGTTGACACAGCCAAGAATAATTTGTGCTGTAGAAGGTAAGAAACAGGACAAAAATCTCAACTATGCTGAGAGCAGGATAATGTGGTCTTCTAAACTGCCTTAAGTAGTAGGAAGACAAATAAAGTACTGTTTAATTCAATCCAAAATGAATCTAAAGATAAAATGCACTGAATATAAAAATATTGGTAAATAACATAGCAGTTGCCGAGCTCTAAAAATATCTAAACATACCTATAGACACTCCAGCATGCGATCCTACAAAGTTAGCATTTGTCTGTGAAATAGCTCCCATGCGAATTTGGTCAAATGCTCGGGTGAAAAAAGCAGCAAATGTGCTTACGAATGGAATTGTGCGATTCCTGGTGCCGCAACCAATGCCAACCCCAACTAGATTCTGCTCAGCAATATAACATTCTATGAATCGATCTGGAAAGGCATCCTGCAATGATAAGTAAATTACTTCATCATTTATGTGATCAGCAACAACAGCACAACTTATTTAGGTAAAGTGCTGCGATACTTGCTCCAGGACTAGTTTCCCTTTCCTCTGTACAACATTTATGCAGAAAGTATTAGAAACAAAACAATAATGAAACCTGTGATAATTCTGGTTTATTTTCACCATGTAAGACTTTAAAAAAAAAGGACCTTTAAACGTTTCATTAACAAACCAACAAAACCCACAATAAATTGTCTGCGGTAAAATTCTCTGAAATCCCACTCTGAGAAACTAGAGAAAGAGATGAAGAAGAAGAAATGTGGAGTCTTGGTCAGATTTTATAAACATACAGTGCTTTCTGCACAATCTTTGCAACATGTGGATGAGCAATATCACACAACTAAATCACAGCTTGAGAAAGCATGCAGGCACCTTCAATCTTTATGGATTTATGCAGCTTGCCTAGTATTCCAACTAGTGAAATCAGCTGACATTAACACAAGGTTCTTTAAATTCTACTAACAACAGCCCTCAACATCAACAAATGCGTTAAGCATAATCTTACCAGCAGAAACCTGTAACAAATTTTTTATTTTTTGTGTCTTTGGAGATCAAAGTTGTGACACCATGATTCATCGCCTGCCATTGTGCAGAAGAGAAATGCATCAAACAACATTCAGGAAGTGGTTCAAACACCACCCCATGATGCATTCCTCCTTTTGGTCATTGGTTAAAATCTACGGTATCCACTGTGAACGCACCTTCTGATATTAGTTTCTTACGAGCATTATAACCTTTTGAACTGTCCAAACTGACACATCAAATTCTTTTGCTAGCAAATGTTTGCTTCGACAAAAGTTTATTTGTACTGCTGCATCAATTGTGTGTGGCGTTGGCATTTTTTGTTGTTGTTGCAACAAATTGCACTTCCCCTGGCTGTGGAAGAGATGTCATGAACTCACGTCCATTTCAAAACATTCATGACAAGTCTGTTACTGTTGTCTTTGACACACATTTGTTACTGAACACTACCTGCATTCTTCAATAAATGGCCACTGATTAACATCCATCAAATGACAGAAACTAACTAAATCACAGCTGTTTGAGTTTGGATGGATTTTAGGATCATTCTGACCATCCTCTCATTGGTCAGAACAAGAACCTATGCATCATGGGACGATAAGCAACTTTCATTCAGTCAGTAATTACCACGTAACAATGACATGATCACGTTCAACTCGCACAAGTAAGGCTGGTGTGGCATGAACAAGGTTTAAAATAAACACTCCTTACAGATGTGAAAAACACTAAAGAATAAAACAGACTTCTAGGCTGAAATGTTTCAGAGACACTCTGGATCAAGATAAATGTTTAAAATATCCTGCAGAAACTGAAAATTTAATAAAACCGACTTATTAATAATTTAATAAAAACATTCAAAAATATTTCCAGTAGCTATTAGCGTAGTATTCTCTAAAGTAAAAAAGCAAACAGCAACACTGAAATTAAAACAATATTCTAGTCAAGGATTCTGCTTCCCTGCAATTGAAAAAAATATATAAATTCAAGTAGAAATCACAGTTTCTACTGCTAAAACTTCCTTTGCCTAATTAGAAATAGATTCCTGAAGATCCAAATAAAGATTTATTTCTTTTTCTTCAGTGATAACATTTTCTATCTTCTATTCCACTATCAGCCATAAATAGGAAAATTTCTTCTCTCTGGCAAAGCTGGGCAGTCCTGTAAGACACCCTCTGGAGTTTGCTTTGATGAGCCACAACTAGATGCAGCAGAGTTTGCAAGACTTGTGTGATGTAGGTGTGCTCAGAGTTTACAGTTTCCCGTTCTGACATTCTGAAATTGAAAATCTTTTTCCTTCTCTCCCCAGTTTTGTTTTAACAGATTGCCTTAAGAGTGTCTTTGTCTCTTTAAATCTCTGAGGTAGGTGGGACTGCTATATGTTTCCTGCAGTCTTCACAAGCTTGCCTGTCATTTCTAGGGATATCACAGTGGGCCTGGTGGCCATGGATGGACCAGTTCTGTTCCTGTGGACAGCATTTTAATGTTTTTGATTTGTAGATAATGCTATCCTGTTAGGAGCAGGAGATGGCCTAGGAGACTGTTTTCGAGTCTGAATATGGCAGTTTTATTAGTTCCCTCAGCAGTTCAACTGCTGAGGGCTGCACAGCTGAGAGGGCAGTTGCTTTTCCTCAAATTGGTGCAAGTTTCTCCCATCGCTATTGAGTGTAGCTCTGCATTGCCTTTGAGGTGTGTAATGTAGAGTCCACTGCCTCCCCCCCCCCCTTTTTTTTTGCAGCACCTTTAGTGAAACCATTGTTAAAACATGTTCCAAATATTGGAGGGATGCTGACTTCTAAGCAAATACAGCAGCAGAATTTGTGAAGACTCAGCCTGTTTCAGCAGATTTTGCTCTGATTATTCCCAACTATTCATGAGCAGAGTGGATGAAGAGACCCAACTACATGCAGCAGAGTTTGCTCTGAAGAGACCCAACTACATCAGAGTTGGTTTCACTTCAGAGACCCAAAACATGCAGCAACTCTGAAGAGACAAAATATAACTTACTAAACTGATTTAGTTCATTCATGAGTCTCACCTTGAACTTCTGAGCATATGTAGAGTTCTTAGTATCCCCATCCATAGCAACGACCCTGTCATTGTTTTTTCCAATCTTCACAAGAGCAGTCCCATAGGCCAAACGTGTAGCAACCTAAGAAGGGTGGATGTACCAAAATATTTATAGATATGTAAATATACAAATAAGGTAATTTAAAAATGAAACCTAAATCATTTAACTTTCACTGTTAACACTATAGGAAAACCCCCCGTGTGGGTTCCACAGAGGCCCCATGTTCTGGTGTGAGAGCTTCACACATCACTGAGTTGGTTTTCACTGCCTCCCCAAAAGCATGTCGCAAGAGTCGAATAATTGGGGAGCTTCCTTTGAAGTCGGAGTCCATCTTGCTGGAGAGGCAATGAACCAACAGTCTGTATTCAAGAGAATGAGATCTGTAAAACTGATGCACACGCAACACTCAGGTTCTGGAGCAGGACTGCAGTTAAGTAGTGGACGAGCAACCAGAACTTTCCGCCAGAGTGTACAGCTGGTGAACGCGAAGAAGAATAATATGGAAAACAAAAGTAGATATGTATTTATCATATCTTTTTGCTAGCCGCCACAACAAATATAACTTTTTTTAAAAACCCTATAATTCCCCCAACCCCCTATAAAAATCTTTTTACAATTCCATTTATAGATCAAATCAATGTTAATTTCCATACAAAATAAGGAGTAAACAGTATAAACTATGCAGCAAAAAATTATCTGATTCACCTTTCTTAGATCTTAACAGAAATGTACATGCAGACTCATACTTCACATCTAATCCATCTAAAATTATGGCGGTAACAGGGAAATATGACATCTATTTTTAAAGCCATCTGTTCACAAGAAAACACCTTGTGCAGGCGCATACGACATCAGTGCTGTTAGCTATGCTTCTGGTTAACAAGCTATTAAAGAAAGTCAGTAAAGCTACTTTTAAGGGGGGACTGGACCAAATAGGAAGAGTTGGTTTTGTGGCTTCTAGAGACAACTATAACCACACACACACAAAAAATGCAGACTTCAATATAGAAAAGAGACTTACAACTTCCCCAAGTTTGTATGATGGGGGTTGAGACAGTTCCACTGATGTGTTGACTGGAGACAGTGTTACTGTTGGTTGTCTTGGAATGATATTATGTGGTCCAGCATTGATAATGTTGTCTTTGATAGCTTTAATTGCTTCAAGTGCTTGATTCCCCAAAGGTTTCCCATGCCAATTTTCTGCATCTGCCACACCTGTAGTCAATACAAAAATATGCTACTTACTTCAGTGGTCTTTACAGTGCTTCATGAATGTCAATAGAGTGTTTCATTATTTGAATCTTTCACTGCTTTAGTCTTGAAGTCTGTCTTTACTGCTGTCATTTGTGGAGACAGGTTATTTCAAGTCTGTGACTTTTTGCTGACTGTGTTGTTATATTTTTAATTTTTTTTATTTTCTCCCTTTTAAATTGCTTTCTACACCCACAGAACCATAGACTGCATCTTCAGCATTCAGCAGCTTATTAGACAGCCAGGAAAAGTCCCCTACTCTGTGGTACTCCTGCTAACTGCAAGGAACCCCAAGATGCTCACTCAGTCACAAAAGCCTAATGATAAAGTTGTGGCAATCATGCACATATTAATTTGGTGACAAGAGAATCCAGTCCTAGAAAATACTGCCATATGGGCAGTGAATGATGTTATGTACCAACAAATAAAACATTCTGATGGCTTTATGAAGTGGGATAAACAGCCACTACAGCTTTAAACCACTGGCTATATTAAGTTCCTATGTTTAAAAAACATTAACTAATCCACTGAAGTCTAGTTAACATTAACTCTTTTAGGCCCGAGCAACATCGAGTGTTGATTGAGAAGTTCTGATTTGCCCAAACAACACTCTCAGCGTCAATCGTGTGTTCCATTCATACTGCTTCGCACATGACTCTGAATTCGTTTCTAATGTTCCAAACTACCATTAAAGTATTTAGGGAAGGTTACTCTAACGTTTTTTTTTCCTTTGAATAAAAGTCTGTGTTCCAACACAGGTGGGCAGATTGATCCGATTCATTGCTAACATCATTGTTAACAGTGCTTTTTTTAAGTTCATGTTTCAGTGCCATAGATACTAATGCTCCAACCACAAGCAAAGGTCACAAAATACACTTTTTTTTCGGGGCCGAAGCTTTGAAATTGTGTCGGTCGGCGAGCGTTCGGTTCTTAGGGAATATAGTTCAAGCAATTCTGAGTGATATAAGAGCCCCTGAGTGCTAAACTAACTTAACTCTTTCAGGACAGCATTTTTTCTGGGGTTTGGACAGCATTCATTTTGAGCGGAATTTTTTTAGTGCAACACGACAAAGCTAAAACCTTCCTGAAGAAAAAGTATTGGCTGTAGCAAGACTTATAATATATCAAATTAAAAATAAATAAGTGTAGAATAAATCTCAACTACTTAAATGTAAGTATAACAACAAAATATTTTTAAAATCACACAACATTCAAGGATGTTTGATACATATCAAAATTATTGACATAAAAAATGTTGTGGTTACCCTTTTTTTTTCACTTGTTCAACAACCCTGCTATTAAATTCTAAGAATGCACATGCCTTCTCTGTTCAATTATGTATTAGCTAGTCTTTATTTGAAACAATTAATTTAAATACTTTGGATGTTATAATCATTTTTGTATGACATGTCAATTTTCAAAACAACCGAAAATCTGAAAAACAGCTGATCGAAACAATGATCTGATTGAAATATTTTGTGAAATTTTCATATCCAAAACTAAATTATCGCTAGTAGATTTGTCACTTAGATATCAATCATAATATCAAGACTGTTGTCACCATCTGGCAGAGATTCATCAACAATAGAGCAGTATGAACAGTTCTAGACCTTTTCCCTTTTCATTTAGTATAGAAAAATCACGTAAAACTTGTATCCCATCTAAATAATTATTTTAAATCACAAAAAATTGCACCGACCACGATGAACGTCGCAAACGAAAGTACTTCCTGTTGTTAATCCTAATTGTTAAAAAACTAGTTCATAAAAGTTCGTTTTCCCTACAAACGGAACAAAATTAGAATGTCTCTATCATGATCCAGTAAACTGGCTATACGTCTTTAAGGGATAGACTTAATCGCAGGTATACTGGCTAAACATCCATAAAGAGTGAGAAACATATCATAACTTTGAAATTTTGTTCAGCACTCCTGTGAGAACTAAGAGCACCTGAGTGCTAAACTAACCCAGAAACATATCATAACTTTGGAATTTTTTAGGAAATTTAACAAACTTGAATGTGTTATTCTCAAATTTGAATATCACTGCTCTTGGGGCTGCAAAACCACGGTAAGTGAAGAATTTGTTTGTAAAATTTTGTTGTGAAATTTACACCAGCTAAATTCTTCTTTCCTACTAACTTTAACAGTATTAAAGTATTTATCATCAGATTTACAATGTACATTCATTTCTCCTTAACAAAATATATACTATTTTAGGGATTAGAAGTATATCACATTCTCTATTGCCTTTTTTGTACACCACCTCCTTTGCCATTTTTGTAAAAGAAAAAAAAAATAATAATGTGAGCCTAGTCTGTCAAAATGTATGGGCCTGAAATAGTTAAGATATATAACTGTACTTCCCCTGGAGGATTAATATCAATATGCGATTCCTACAACTCACAATTACTTACAGACTATGACATTACCTGGTATTCCTTGTCCTTTGTACGTCTTTGCCAAAATGCATGTTGGTCTACCTTTCACATGGCTAGCATCCCAGAATGTCTTACACAATGCTTCTACGTCATGGCCATCAACAACATATGTATTCCAGCTTTACAGGGGCAATAGATCAATAAAGAATTTACAGAACATCATTTTGTGAGACATTAACACAAACAGTAAACAGTATTACATTCTTATTTTTAAAGTCCATGCCTCATGGCGTTGGTAGGCATGTTTATCCACAACCTTCTGTCTCGTGCACTTTTAATCAACTCTGACACAGATGATCCTCCATGCCATGATGTCAAAGTGTCCAGCATCTGTTCTCTCGGTCTCCCTCTGCCTCTCCTCTCTTCCAACTTTCCTACTTTCACGATGTACTTGTTTTCTCATTCTCGTCATATGACCAAAGATGCAGATTGTCTCTTTCTGATGTGGGCAATCGGTTGTCTTTCTGAATCAGCTTTTTTCAAGACGTCTTTATTACTCCTTTTATCTCTCCAGGGTATTCTATTTATTCATCCATAAAACCATATCTCGGCAACCTACAAATAAGTTTTCACTAATTTACAAACTGTCCATGATTCACTTCTGTATATCAATAATGGGTTTTTATAGCTTTAAAGAATTCTCTTTCTCGTCTCAATTGACAAAGAAAGATTGCATAAAATATTCCTCATTGTGTAAAATGCTGCCTTTGCTTGATCTATTCAACATTTATCTTACTTAAAATGCATATTCCACCTGATGTTATAAGAAGGATAGTTAAATGTTTTATACAGATACCACCCTATGTGGCCAGATCTACCCCACTGTAGGAATGTCCCTATTCCTTTTGCCTTGATAATAACTGTTTAATTGGCTTACTGTATGTATTATACTTAAAACTAATGCAGTTTTCTAAAGGTTTTTCGTGTTCCTCTTTGCAGACTTTCTGTTCCTGTCTGAATTTTAAATACTCAAACTGAGGTTCATAAACTTTTCCTTTCATCAGATGAGGTATTTTACCATTACTATTGCAGAAATTAAATTTTCGGGACAGCAATGTAGTTTACGTCAGCGGTCACAATTGACATTTTCATGACTACTGTAGTAGTATTATTTTCCATATTAACAGTGCTTAATAATATGACAAAAACCTGGATCATTTTTACCTGGATGAATCTGGAGATTTTATTTAATGTGATTTTTAAGAAGGAAAAATTCAGATGACATAATATACTAAACATAGGTAAGTACAGTTGCTGTGCTACCAAAAATGGTTCTTCATTTTTAGGAACTTATATGAAAATATATATAGAGAAGAGCCTGATTTTGAAGCACTGTATGTCATAACACGGCTTAAAAACAACAAAGCAACTGGTGCTGATGGAATTGCTACTGAACTTATAAAAGAAGGTGGTCATGTATCACATTTAAAGATATATGAATTAATAAAACGGGTGTGGAAGACGGAGAAATTACCCCGTGAGTGGAAAGTGTCATTATTAATCCCCATTTTAAAGAAAGGAGACAAGTATAAATAGAGAATTATAGAGGAATATTATTATTCAGTATAAATAGAGAATTATATAGGAATATTATTATTATCTACAAACTATAGGATACTATCGTTATATGAATTAATAAAACTGGTGTGGAAGACGGAGAAATTACCCCGTGAGAGGAAAGTGTCATTATTAATCCACATTTTAAAGAAAGGAGACAAGAATAAATAGAGAATTATAGAGGAATATTATTATTATCTACAAACTATAGGATACTATATGTCGAAGACATATTGAGAGGTTACCAAGTGGGTTTCCGACAGAACAGATCAACATAGACCATATTTATTTTACGGCAAATAGCAGACAAAACTGGGAATACAGAAGAGATGTACATAATGTTTTTATGGATATTAAAAAGGTTTATGATAGTGTACATAGAAACAGTTTATGGAACACTATGAAGGACTTTGGAATAACCAAACTATGTATGGAAATCATTTATAATATAGTAACATATAAAGGCAGAAAGTCAGACCATTTTTAAACATCTGGTTTAAAGCAAAGTTATGCTCTGTCTGTCCCCACTTATTTTCAACTTGGCTCTGGAGAAAACTATAGGGAAATTGAAACAAGACTGTACTTTAGGAGAAACTACAAGAATACTTGGTTATGCAGATGACATTGACATCAGAGAAAATTAACTAGAGACTGTAAAAACACTGACTCTCTTTAAAAAAGCAGCTCGCAAAATGGGACTAGTTATCAATCAAGATAAGACAGAATTCATGATAATAACGAGACAGGAAAAGGATATAAACTCCTGCCACATACAAGTCGATAATATGAAAATCGAACGAACGGAAACATATAAGTATTTGGGTGCAAACTTCAACTGCTCCAACATGCTGATAGAAGAAATATACAATCTAGAATACAATCAGGAAATGAAGTATACTATGCCCTTCAAAATCTGCTAAAGTCAAAATATCTACATCCGCTAAAGTTTAAAACTCGCAACACCAAGATCAAAATATATAGAACGTTGATAAGACCAATAGTTTTATATAGCTCTGAAACTTGCAGCACAACTAAAAGAAAAGCCTCATTACAAATTTTCAAAAATAGAGCATTACGACAAATCTTTGCACCCATCAAAAATGCACACAGCAGTGAATGGATAGTGAGAAGCAACAATGAAATTCATAATCTGTTTAAATCACCATTTATTACTAGCATCATGAGATCCAACAGATTGAAGGCTTGGGCATACTGAGATAATGTCAAATGACAGGTAAAAATTGTATACACAAAAGAGTTGATTGGTCGTAGACCATGAGGCAGACCAAGAAGACTATGGAGAGATTATGTCCAGACAGACCTGCAAACTGCTGGTGTCACCAACTGGAAAGAGATGGCTAACCAGAGAGATTAGTGGAGGCGGGTGATATCTGCAGGAACAAACCTCAAGGGCTCGGAACGCTAAAGAAGAAGATGATATAAGAATCCAGGATAACCCCAAACTGCAGGTGTCGACTGAACCTCTTTCCAGATGTAGAGATTTTACCTGTTTTCATTATGTGTTACATTTTCAATAATCTGATAAAATAACAGCACAAATATGCTTAATTAAGAATACCAAAGTTCAGAGTGGATTTGAGTTAAATCAATACCAAATTTCAGAGTAGATTTGAGTTAAATCAATACCAAAGTTTAAGTGGATTTGAGTTAAATCAATACCAAAGTTCAGAGTGAATTTGCGTTAAATCAATACCAAAGTTTGGATTTGAGTTAAATCCCACACATAGAAAGTAGTAAACAGCCAAAGTGATGTCATACCCAAATGCTTCTACTCTAGCTTTGTATACATCCAAGTCGTGTTCAAGCATTGTGGCTTCACTCTGCCCCAGGCGATTGATGTCAAATATAGCTACAAGATTGTCCAAGTTGTAGCGGCTGCCAAAAGCCAGCGCTTCCCAAATAGATCCTTCAGCACTCTCTCCATCTCCGATAAGACAGTATACACGGTAACTACAGTGGAAAACAATCACAGGAAAACTCATGAAAAATTTAAAAGTGTTATTGCTGAACAAAGTAAAGTTATGAATGCAGTATAAACCTGTGTCCACTTTATAGCCTAATATAAACAGATATTAACCCTTTCGCTGCTACGTTCCCAGAAATAGCTGTCTGCCCTGTGCTAAGCAATGTGGAAAAAAAAAGTCTCTGCTGTGCGCAATACTTTTCTATCCTTCTAAACGCAAAAGATGCGTCGGCGGTGAAGGCTATATTTTGTAGACCTAAAATTTTTTACCACGGGGAGTTGTGTGGTTGGTCCGAGTGGTGACAAGTCAGAGGCACGATGGTGCCCCACAAACTTGACTAATGGAGCTATCACGCCCCTGGGGGTGGTGGTGGTGGTGGGAAGGGGGGGGGGGGAATTAATGGGAAGAACTGTTTCCAGTCCGTATCCCAAAATGTGATTGACGAACCTACCACAGCTCCCACTTTAATCAAAGTTATTTGTAGTCACCATGTTATTACATACCAAAATAATAATAATACTACTTGAGTCATCCGTTGCTGAAAAGTAGCAGGAACTGAAAGGAATTTTACAATAATAAAAAATTTTTAAAATATAATAAATTTGGGGGTTGAACACTCGACCCTCCGATTCTAAGGCGGACGTGATACCAACTACCTTATACCACCGCTTGAAGCATTGTGCTGTGTGAATGATGATAATGAATGATGTGCGCAGACTATCAATAATGTATCTAATTGTGTACAGTCTATCGCCGCCTGCATGAGCACTGTTGTCTGAGAAATGTTTGAGATTCTCAAAAATAGTAAAAATCTGTCCCTAGATATTATTCCACGAGAGTTTTTAGCAAACAGTCTTTGCTCAAGTACTCTATTTTGAGTTTCTTTGTTCTAAGCATTAGCAGACTGACAGAAAAAAAAAAAAAAAAATTTCATCCGAATCTGTGTCTGTCCATCGGGAAAGACGAGAATTTATAGTGACTGAACTGTTTGAATTTACAGTAGCAGAAATACAGCCAGAGCTGGAGTCATCAAAATTATGCACTACTGGTATCAAATTATCGGTTGACCAAGACAACTGATCAGTTTATTGCCGTTTTGATGGCGCTTCATTGTCGCTGCTCTCTGATTCCGATGATGAAGACGTCGGACAGGCAAACAGCTTTTTTTGGACACGCTGGTTTCAGCCGTCGTTACTGATGGCCTAGTCAAATCATTTTGTTCACTGTCAGAAGTACACATTTCAAAGTCATCTTCGCTATCACTCCTTGATAGAAACTCCATCAATTCTTCATCACCTTTAACAAGTTTTCTCGCCATTTTGTACTAAATTTAGAATAATCCAAAAGCACAAATATATATCACGGCACAAAATAAACAGATCCCCGACGACGCTGTCATGGTAAACAAAGCAACGGGATAACGCAGAATGCAGTAAACACACCTTAAACACACCTAAAAGCATGTGACAGTGGCCAGTGCTTTTAATCGTATGTAAATGAGTCAGTTTAATTTAAATATAACTAATGTATATTGCCCTTCAGCCAATAAAATACGAGGTCACAGAAATGTGTAAGAAAAGTCTAAAAACGGCTTGGGACGTCCATAGCACTGGGGGTCAAGAAAAAAATAACGTCTAAAGACGGGCGTAGCAGCGTACAGGAAATCGGGAAAAGACGTCCATAGCAGCGAAAGGGTTAACCATTGTTAAAGGTTACAGTACTGCTTTTGTATGTAATATAATGCTGGATGATGGCAGCAAATGACATTTGCTAGCAATATTATATACATAATTTACATATCAATGTGTGCGTGTATGTGTATAACCACAACAACATCAGACCAAATAATTAATAACTGTTTTATCATGGTTGCGGCTGGCCAGGACAGTTGTCTAACATCAGTAGAATAGACCATTTCTACTTTGTTCCTTAAATAGAGCTCCAGTCATCAATGTGGACTTTCATTTGATCTCTAACTAATAGGGAGGTCTTCGCGCTTCAGATTCTACAGTACCTGTGGCTTTATCGATTTACCAATTACCAAAGGCTTCAATTCATCTCTAGCTATCCAGCGCAAAACATTACTGAAACATTCTTTGGAAAGTTTTCAGCTTTTGAATTTTTCAACCTCCATGGCAAGGCTCTTCTCATGCATCACCATGAAAACGAACAAGTCTGCACTAATCAACTCAGTACTAAAGCTGTTATCTTTAAAGTTTTCCATCATATAACCTACTTCAAAGAGTTGTTACAACTATTAATAAACACATGTGGATGAAACGAAGTGACATATCTCTTGATATTGCTACATGAACTCTTTCAGAGTCTGATCTCTGTGTGTTTGGTTCTAAGATTAAAAGAAGTACCACTGAGCTTTTTAACTGCAGCAAATTACATAGACACATCCCACTGGTTAAAATCAGCTGGTTAAGTTATAGAGTTAATTACTATTGTCTGTCCTGGTTGAAGTGATCATCATAGAATTCAGAGAGGTGGTCAACATTCAGAGGTGGTCTTCCACAATGAGAATATGTGTTTGCCGCCCGATCAATGAAACTGGAGGAGTTAATGTAGTGAGTTGGTCAACTCTGGAGGTTCTCCTCTCTCTCTCTCAATACACATATATACACACTCCTTAGATTTATTAGTTACTGATGTGTATGTAAGACTTGTTTACCACACTGTTGTAGTCAGCCTAATTCCTGTGTTCTCAAAAGTTGTGTCTCATTCCATAAACATGAAGTCAATGTGGAAAAGTACACTAGTTTGTAGTAAGGGTTTTATGATAAACTCATCTCTGACTAGTTATCTAACAAGCAAATGAAGGGCATTGTGGACAGAGGGTTTGGTCACACTTTTTGGAAGAAGAGTGGTGGGAGAGTGAAAAAAAAAAGTTATAAAATTTATAAAATAAGTGAAACATTTTGTCATTTAGTTTTATGTGTCATTTATAGGTCTTCTTTAGAAGGCTGAGTGTTTTACAGGTGATGACACCCTGTTGGTGTGCAGATCTGGTTTACATCTAGACTGTGTGGATTTAAAACACAACAGCATATGAAATTCTGTTTTTAAAAAAAGTAAAGGACCAGTGTCCACGCCTTTTAGGCATATAGGGCATAGAGGGCTGTACCTATATTTGATAGACCAATCGGCACAAGATGGGTGATGTGGTCAGCATAATGCCAGCTGCCTTTACTTCTGGCATATGTAAATTAGAGTCATCTGCATCATGAAGCTCACATACCATCTGGCACTCTCCAAGTGTTATCTATAGACCAGCTGGAGAACTCACAGAAATATTCAAGTGCAGTGACAGTGATCCTGAACTGAAAGTCAAGCCAAGTCAGGTTAACAGAACCAAAGTGATCCTGAACTAAAAGTCAAGCCAAGTCAGGTTAACAGAACCAAAGTGATCCTGAACTAAAAGTCAAGTCAGGTCAACAAAACCAAAATGAACCTTAAATAAGGGTCAAGCCAAGTCAGTCAGCATCCCCCCTTCCCTCCCCCACCCCTCCCCACTTTGTGTGTGTACAAAGATCATTTTTCACAAATGTGATAATGGTGTTAATTTCCAACCAGGAAACAGGATACAATTTCAGCTGATAAAATATAGTTGGGGGAGGGGGAGGGGGGGGGGGGGGGGGGGGGGGGAGAAAGAAACATAGAATAGTACTCTGGAATGACAAACAAAAGTTTTAATCCAAACCTCAGAAAAAAAAAGTACAGTGTAACTAACTTAACAGTCAGCATACAGAAAAAGCGCATGGACGGACCAACGACTTTTGCTGACAGTATGTGTTATCAGCTCCCCTTCATCTATCTGAAGATGTTCATAATTGTTTTCAAATGTTAAACAATAATAACCTTTGTGATTTGAGGAAATAAACATGAACAAGCATGCAATATTTGCTGACTTCAGTAAAAATTTCAAATACTCTAATGATTACAAAAAGAGACATATCTGAATAGTTTTGGCTCTCTTTACAAATTCCCTATTAAAAGCACAAAATTATTCACAAACAACACAGATGTATAGTTACTCTGCTTTGTCAAAATATTTTCCCGTATATGCCATTCCTGCAGCACAGCTCAAACCCTGACCCAGAGATCCGGTAGCAACATCTACAAAGTTCAGCCTCTATTTGGAGACAAAAATAAATCAAACAACAAAGAAATCAGCTATTTATCAAACAATATTTCATCTTCTTATCATCAGCTATGAAGACTGTCAACTGATCATGTCACTTGACTGTACCTGATTCTCATATATTTCAGCTCTGATACATAATTTTCAATGCAATGTGAGTATGTAATTGTTTAAATATTCTAATTCCCAACAGTCTGGAATTTCCAATGCAAAAAGAACAAGACAGGCAGACTATCAGGCACCATCTGTATAAGAATCTGAGGAAGAGGACGGAGTATGTGTAGGAATGGCTCACATGCAGTGATGTCAATTCTGGACCCTTTCACTCATTTACTCTTCATTGTATCCCTAGATGTGTACTATTAGACATCCAAATATTATGATATTACAAATTAAAGACAACCATTTCTGAAAATATCGGTCAGCAACCATTTTTCCCCCACCCCCCCCCCCCCCCCCCCCCCCCCCTTTAAATCTCTTTATGTTAATTTAACCTTTTTGTCTTGGCAGCTCCCTGCATTCTGTGATAACTCAAAAGCTTTCATGACTACACATAATGGAATCTGGAATCCAATTCAGTACTGTTACAAAGGTTAATAGAGGATGATGATTACAAGCATTATCTTTGGTATTCTCTGAGTCAGATGGAGCCGACGTAAGAATCTCACAAATTGTACAACGTCAGTGTTAGATGAAATTTTCAACAAAAGCTTCTAGATTATGTTGTATATTTGGTTAAAGAATTAATTTTAAGTCTCATGTCAGTATCTGTCATGGGAATCACTTTTATCTTATGTACACCAGTGTTAAATTATGCAAATGAAACCAGAATTACACCCTGAAATATTATGACATGCAAGCAAGCAAGCAGTATAGAAAAACTTCACGGGTAATCATGAATGCAAAATAAGGCAATAAAAGACATCATTTAAAAAAAAAAATGAAAAAAGATATTGCCTTTGGCACAAAACATTACAGCGTTATCACTGTAGTTTTCTTCCTGCCCTAAGAATCCGCTTCTACAGAGATGGTTTCTGATACTATCTGAGTCAACCTGAGTTCATAGACCTCATTACAATGTCATAAGTGTAAGTATTTTCACTGTGGAGACAGCATCTTATTTGAAATTTGATGTCAAGACGAACACAAATTAAAAAAAGCAATCTTTATTTTTAGCCACATTATGAAAAGAGACAGACTTGAATAAGTGAAGTTTAAAAAAAAATTATGGAAAATGAGACAGAAAGAGGCAGAAAAAAGAAGATTCTTGTCAGCCTATTGTCATATGGAAGCATTGAAGTAATAAGAATATGATTTAGACTGCTTCTCATTGTAGTGAATGCTTTAGGAAGAAAATTGCCATCAAATTCTTGAAAATATATGTTATTTAGCTGCAATAATGAAAATGATGTCAGAACATAGAATAAAGCATACAAAGTACATTATAAGTAAAACTATTTACTGGAGTAGGATGGCCTTCAAGGTCAGAGGTCAGCTTTCGAAGTTCCAGTAGGTCTGATGCAGGAAACAGTCCTGCTTCTGCCCATGCTGCATACAAGATTGGTGCTGCGTGTCCCTTTGATAGCACAAATCGGTCATTATTGGGGTGACGTGGTTCATCTACAGTGTAGCTCATCACATTGAAGAAGAGCACTGACATAACGTCTGCTGCAGAGCAACATGATGTTGGATGCCTGACAATGTTAAGAAGTAGATAAAGAGTTGAAATCATCCATAAACATTTATTTAAAGGCTATACTCCCGAATAACGGTCCCAAATTATCGATGCCAAAAATATACCTCAACAGGCCTCAGTCACATGTAAATTGCGGTCTTCCTGCGACTACCGCCCACTGCCAAGAGTATCTCCCATGCCGCTACGCGCGACACGGAATGGGACTAAACTAGATGGCTGGGACTCACGAGCAAATAAAATGAAGGAAGCTCCTGGAGATGGGGTAGCTGCTAGTTTATCTAGTAAAGGTGCAGGGATACTCTCAGCTGTGGCCGTAGTCGCCGGAACTCCGCAATTTATATGTGACTAATGCCTTGTGTATATTTTCGGCCTCGATAATTTAGGGCCGTTATTCGGAGAAAAGCCTATTTAAAAATAAAATAAACTTGCTTAAACATGAACTATGAAAACTGGGAGCTGTAGCTGCAGTGTGTCGTTGTCAGCCAACTCCCCAGATTACAATTACACTTTCATGTCTTTTCTGTGTTGCCAGCAAACGATAAATGGTGATAACAGAGTAAATATGTGAAGATCTGGGTTAGTGTGGGCTCAGGCATAAATCATCATAATAAAAATATACTGCATTTTTGGAGGGATGGAACTGGGTACCACATTAACTGCCACTTTATGAAGAAATGAAGGGTTACCTACACAAATGTAAATGGTAAATCGGGACCCAAGCCCTCAATGGCCTCAGCCTGTATATGTCTGCAAGACTGCAACAGTACATAGTACAATCACCCTGAATTAATAATAGTCGGTACTTTGTAACAAATCAGATCAATAACTAACCCATCACTTCACTGTTTAGTATGATTATGATGACTCAGATATATCTACTTGACTATCAGGCAGTTCATTGTAACATTGTTAAAAAAATAAATTAGACTTAGACCTTACCCAGAATTGCTTGCATTTGTGGATTCAATGCTGTGAATTCGCAACTTGTTTGCGATATCCTTCAGTGTTTGTACAGTCTTGCTGTCAGGACAGTGGTAGTTGCTCATTGTCGCTGTTTAGATTCTGAAGGACTGACTGCAAATGAACGAAACCAAGAACCGTTAGTGCGGGCGGGATGGCCGTACCGTATCACACCACACTAGGGAAAGAACGCCGGCAGTCAGACTCGACCTTGACCTCTCAGAGTTCACACGAGTTGACCCTACGTGCACTGTGGCCAGACATTTTCAAATATTTCGCTTCAAACGATACTCGGCGTATGCATGTAAACAAATCATATTTTTAGTTAGCTAGTCGACATAGTATCCTTACTGTACACGGAAACCATTCAAGCATAAGCGCTCGGATCCCCTAATCGGTAAATCCGGGCGCCTTTAGGGGTAGACGATGCTGCTGTGTGTTGGTTTCTTATTCTTCTTTGGCTTCCTGCATAGTAATCTGGTAATCTGGTAATCCTAGTTTCAGCATCATAGCAAACGGGTCACCCCATTGTTGCTCCGCTCCTGTGCCAACGAAAAACACTATTCCTGCATAGTGCTCTTGTCTGGCCGAACCCTTTTTAACATGTTCCTGCAGTCCTGTCATAGTTGCAGATTAAGTTTTCACTTCGTCACGCAAAAGAGTTCCCCCCCCCCCTTTTCCGCCCCCCCTCCCTCCCGAGTACCTAGAGCATTTATTTAATGAGACTGGTCCATGGCTCACCCTCCCTCCACAGTAACTTTACCTGCAAGCCTATATGTATCTCCCATCTACCCTAGGGAGCAAAATGTCATCTACAGGAGATATCGCACCAGAAATATCATTTAGAATAGCACTGGCATCTAGTGCCTTCAATAAACTGTCTAACATCTGGAAATCAAAGACACTTAGCAAACACACAAAACTCAAGATCTTCAATTCTTGTGTGATTCCAGTACTAACCTATGGATGCGAGAGCTGGAAATCAACGAAAACTCTAGACACAAAATTAGACAGTTTTGAAAATAAATGCCTTAGAAGAATACTAAATTTCAAATGGTCAGATTTCCGAACCAATACACAAATAAGGCAAGAATCCAGGCAAGAGTATGTGTCTAATTTTATACGAAAACGCCGCTGGAACTATGTCGGCCACGCCCTTAGAATGGATAAATCAAGACTTCCTTACCAAGCCCTCATTTGGACACCACAGGGGAAAAGATCTCGTGGAAGACCAAGGGAAACCCTACGTAGAACTATCATCAGGGAAGGCTCGCTCATGGGCCACTCAAACATGCAAGACCTACAACGGATTGCAACGGACCGCCGTGCATGGAGAGTCGCGACCTCTGCCCTATGTGCCGCACTCGACACAAGAGGAAAGACTAACTAACTATATGAGATGACGGAGCGGTGTGAACAGACAGCGTCAATGGTTAACCCAGAGAAGGCCAGTGTTTTGTGGTGCTCCTTAACAGCATTGGAAAGGAAGACTTTGCCCAACATATCCATAAAGAGTATAAATGTTGAAAGAAGAGTTAGACTGAAACACTTTGGTTTAACTTTAGATCGCAGTCTGTTCTACAAATATCACATGAAGCAGTCTGTGATCAAATAAATACAAACGTGCCCCGTCGGCACGGAAGGCGATGGTAGCGACACGCATGGAACAGAGACTATTGGTCTCATTGTTCAACTATTTAGTCCTTTCAGTAATTTATAACGCCCTAGGAATTTTAACCATGCATACTTTGCAGTGTACAAAGCTTGAACGGATTCAAGATAAAAGAATGAGGATTGTCGTGGGTTGCACACATGATGCATTAATAAGAACAATTTAGTATATGCTTGGGCCGACATCGGCAAAGTCTAGACTCACTGTCGTAATCCAAGGCCTATATGCAAGTTAGTTACCAATGACGAAATGTTGTATGGTCATCTGAAAAATTTGAGAGGAGACCGGGTTGAAAAGAGAAAAGTTATGGATGGCACTAGCTGAAGATACCATACGTTTTTTTTTTTTTTTTCCCCAATATTTTTATGACGATGGAGGTGGAGGCAATCACTGCAGCTCTGGGAATGCAGGATCCCTCGAAACTCTTTCATGTGGCTTATGCCAGTAGGAAACTTAACAACGTCAGTACTTGTATACTGAGAAAGATCGTCTGGCATTGGTTTGGAGTGTCCAGACATTTCAGCCCAATTATATGGAATGCAATTCACTGCACCAATCACTCGTATTCTTGGCTTCGTCCACCCATGTAAATACGAGGCTTATTAGATGATCTTTATTTATGCAACCCTATTCTTTTACTGGGGAATATTTCCCTGGAAATCAGAATGTAGGGGCAATTACTTAAGCCGTCACCTCATATCAGGTGATTCACAGACCAATGGTAGTGATCAAAGTGATGATGTTCTTTTTATGTGTTTTTTGCTGGTTTTAAAAGAGCGTGACACGCTTTTTCTTCTTTTTTTTTTTTTTTTTTTTTTTTGTTGGGGGGGGGGGGGGGGGGGGAGCCCTTGTCACCTAGCCAGCAAAACTGTTTACAGTTTAAGCAAAGATTTATTCTTAAGTCTATAGGATTGACCTTGTCAAATCTCCAAATCAGAAATAAAGCAGTAAATGATTTCAGACATTGATGTGAAGATGCAGCCAGTGATGCTGTTGATAGGCTTGTTAGTCTCCACGACATCATGCCTCGCATGTCTAATGTTTATAGTTATGCATTAAATCCATGATAACATACTATTTCAATAGGTTTTTTTTTTTTAATTCTTTCATTCTTTCTTTTGTCTGGAGCAAAACAAAACAAAAACAAAAAGCTGTTCAAGTTCGAATTATACGGCTGTTATACGGGGGGGGGGGGGGGGGAGAGGAGAGAGATAAAGACATTCAACAACAAAAATGGACAAGGCATCTTAAGCATTTGATTGGAATCGGTAAAATATGCTTCTGATGAAATAATGCTTTAAAAAATATATTCTTATTCTGCGATCGTCTGAAGACGTAATTGTATTGTGTCCGTTTACAGCATGGCTGCGATATTTGCTCTTTTCGGCCAAAACATCCGACTTCTGCGGGCATTTGTTGACCGGGTTAGCCTTCCTGGTTAGTTTCTGGGGACATGGCAGTCTCATTGTTGTGTGGTCATCTTTATTTCTCAGGTCACAGGTGGTGCCCCAATCAGGCTGGTCCAGAGAGGCCACGTAATGCTGATCAGCCCTCAAGAGAAGGCAGGGGGCGAACATAAGCATTCCCCGCCATACAAGGAGGCTTCCACAAATGCAGAGCTAATACATGGTGCTCTGGTACTAGGCTCACACAAGGAATCGTCACGTCCTGCTCATGACTGTTTTACCTCACTTCCATATATTAAACATTTCATACATCATGGGCTGTCTCTTTTGTAGCCAACAGTATGCCGCCTGCAGAAATGAGATTTCATTTACCTACACCACAAAATGAGTACTTCTTTTGCATGTTAGACTTTTACTGCGGTGGACTTCCTCATCCACTATAGTTTTATGTGGTTTGCGAGCTCTGCATCTCTAGAGACTATCAGCTCAAAGAATCCCGGACAGTTTTATTCTTCTTATACCTTCAGATGTCAGTGTGGATATATTTGAAGAAATCAGCAAACTTGAGGTTGTTGACGTCTCCACACAGTTTATCCTCAAAAGTTGCGGGTGTTAACCAGAATAATTTGCTTTGTTCTGCATATATTAGACACTTTTGCAGCAAGTGTTTGGCCGTCATTTTACCCTTTCCACAGTTACAATAATCATTGTCTCCTATCTTTAGTTTATTGAACAAGTGGTGTTTCAGCCTATTATGTCCTGGGCGGAGTCTAAAGATCACTTTTAAAAAACATATTCTAAATATTAACGTCTCATTTCATTTTTTTTTCTTCATTTTTTGAAAATGCAACTCTAAAGGAATGGGGATAGGATAAGGATAGGGATATGTAATTTGACAAAGCAATATAACAAGACACTTAATCCCGATCAGTAAGTTTTCATATTGTTTATTGCTGTCTCTAATTGTTTTACTGGTGTCTTACATCCGATGTCATCTTCTTGTTGTTGATCATAGTCAAGCATAACATCAAGAGAACCACCAAAATAGAACATCAGAATATTTACACTGGCTTGCTGCTTGTTCCAACGGTCCCCTCAACCTGTAGTTGTGAAAATACTGAAAGCTTTCGTCGGGAAACAACAAGTATAAAAAAATATTCTTCTTTTTACTTCTTCTTCTTCTTCTTCTTTTTCTTCTTCTTCTTCTTCTTCTTCTTCTTCTTCTTCTTCTTCTTCTTCTTCTTCTTCTTCTTCTTCTTCTTCTTCTTCTTCTTCTTCTTCTTCTTCTTCTTCTTCTTCTTCTTCTTCTTCTTCTTCTTCTTCTTCTTCTTCTTCTTCTTCTTCTTCTTCTTCTTCTTTTCTTCTTCTTCTTTTTCTTCTTCTTCTTCTTCTTCTTCTTCTTCTTCTTCTTCTTCTTCTTCTTCTTCTTCTTCTTCTTCTTCTTCTTCTTCTTCTTCTTCTTCTTCTTTTCCTTCTTCTTCTTTTTCTTCCTCTTCTTCTTCTGCTTCTTCTTCTTCTGCTGCTGCTGCTTCTTCTTTTCTTCTTCTTCTTCTTCTTCTTCTTCTTCTTCTTCTTCTTCTTCTTCTTCTTCTTCTTCTTCTTCTTCTTCTTCTTCTTCTTCTTCTTCTTCTTCTTCGTCGTCGTCGTCGTCGTCGTCGTGTCTTCTTCTCATTATGTACTGCGTCTTGCAGAGAAAGGGCCTTTTAGTTTTCTAAGACAAAATCAACAATAGTTACTTATATTATCAGTATTAACAGCAGCTGCTACTACTACCACCACAAGGCTTTACCAATGCATGTCCTTTTAAGAAATTGTCTTACCTGAACCCCCGATTCAGCAGGGGTTTGCTCAGTTCTGTTTGCGAATTCTATATTGGTCTCTCTGTCACACAATATTATCCCTTCGATTTCATACAGTCATCAAATACAGAACAGAGGGAATTAAATGTTATGATAGAATCACTACTCCTGAGTTTTGAAAGAGAACAAATCAAGTTTCAGTGGACCCA